CTGTGAGGCAGACAACAGCTCCCACGTAGTATGCTTTTTTTAAAAAAATGTAACAATGGAAATCACTGTTTCAAATGGAGCAGTGCATTAAAACACTATCCCTCCTCTAAAATCTGGATTTGAATCCAGTCCAGCTTAATTGGATGACAGTTTTCTTCCTACGATCACTGGAAATAACTAAGTGCAATGAGCTAGGGAAGATGTCTCAATACAGTTCTGAGTGTCCATGACATAACACTGTCCTAATTGGGACTAATTGGAAGCCTCACACTGGCTGCTGCAGAGCACGATACATAGAGCAAATCTTACTGCCCACAGACTTGCTTTCTCACGTCTGGAGATGCAAATGTAAATTCGTAACTGCTCCAGTTAAAAGTAAGTCTCCAGTGTACATGGAATATTATAGCACAGAGGACGCTATTCAGTCTATTGTGCCTGTGCGGCTCTTTGAAAAAGCTACCCCAATCAGTACCCCTCCCCCGCTCTTTCCCCATGTACTTGCAAATATTTCCTTTTCAAGTACCACCCTTTCAGAAACCACCCTTTCAGGCAGTGCATTCCAGTAACAACTTTCTGTGTTCTCCTCATCTCCCCTCTTTTTTTTGCCCATTAACTAATGGATGTGCCCTGGTTACTGACCCAGCTGCCAGTGGAAACCCTAACTACTCTATCAAAACGCCTCATAATTGTGAACACCTATTAAATCTCCCCTTAACCTTCTCTGCTCTAAGGAGAACAATCCCATCTTATCTAGTCTCTCCACATATCTAAAGTCCCTTAAGCCGGGTACCATTCCAGTAAATATTCTCTGCACCCTCTCCAAGGCCTTGATATCCTTCCTAAAATGTGGTGCCCACAATTGGACACAATACTCTAGCTGAGGCCTAACCAGTGACATATAAAGGGATAGCAGAACTTCCTTGCTTTTGTGTATATACTAACAAAGACAAAATGCCTGTCTGTTTGCCAATAACGTAATAAATAATTTACGTAGAGACATGACTTCTATCTCATCCGAAAGGTTTTGCATGGGGAGCGCCATGGGCATATTTCTTTTCGGGGATCTCCTATCACTGATGAGCTATATTTAAAAAATATTTTAAAAATGCTTTAATTAAGCCCTCAAAAAGCTATGCATGGTATTCTGCAACAAAGTAGCGACAGAGGTCACACACCCTTCTGGAGAAATACATCTATACCAATGAAACGGCAATGTCTGTCTGTATATCTGACAATCACACAATAACCAATTGAAGTAGAGACATGATTTATACCTCATCAGAAAGGTCTAGCATCTGGCAGTGTCATGGGCAAATTTTTTGATGGGAATTCCTACCATTGATGAGTTACATTCAAAATTAAGCCCCAAAATATGAGGAATCCTATATCATGTCTCTACGTCAATCAGAAAGAGAGAGTAAGACAGAGACTGGGGAAGAGAGAGACAGACAGAGAGATAAAACACACGTAAACACTACGTACACACGTAAACACAGAGAGACAATATATTATAAATTGTTGTGATTGTGTGTTTTGTGGTAGAGACGGAGAGACTGAGAGAGTGACAGAGGAAGACTGAGAGAGTCAGAGAGAGAGACACTGAGAGAGTGAGAGACTGAGAGGAAATATATTACAGGAGTCCTCCCAGCTGAGTATAGGTAGTATAGGTAAAGTCTGTCTGTGTGTCTGTATATGTGTCAATTTACATTTCATATTGGATCCTTTGGTTGCAAGCAAAGCTGTTACTCGGTTGTTGCATTCTTGGCAGGCAGGCAAACAGACATTTCGTTCTGTACCTGTTGAAGCGAGCTGTTTGGACAGCTAGCCTATACTAATAAAGACAAATTGTCTGTTTGTGTGTCTGTCTAATCCATTAAGGTAGAGACATGATTTATACTTCATCAGAAAGGTCTTGCATGGGGGAGTGTCATTTATTTTTAGAGGGGGATCGCCTATCGTGACTTAAACAAGTTCATCACACATGTATGGACTTCAACCAGGTGTCCTCCCAACAGGAGTCCTCTTACAGGAGTCCTCCCAAAAGGATATGTGTGCAAATATATCAACAAGGGACGCTAACAAGTTAAACAGCACATTTTCTTGAAAGGGTTAAAGATGCCTAAGAAGCAAAGATCAAGCCTTTCAAGGACAAATAAAAATGCCAGACAAAAGAGAGAAGGCCAATTAAATGAAACTGGTTGCAAGCATAGCTGCAAATGGTACAGCTAGCATATACTAATAAAGACAAAGTGTTTATCTGTCTGCCAAGAACGTAAGAACTGATTGGCGTAGACACTTGATTTATACCTCATTGAAATTATACCTTGAATGGTGGGGCATAATGGGCATATTCTTTTTCGAGGATCCTATCGTTGATGAGCTATATTAAAAAATGCTTTAATTATGCCTCAAATTATGAGGTATGCATGGTATTCTGCAACAAAGTAGCGACAGAGAAAATCACACACCCTTCTAGAGAGACACATCTACACACATATATAGAATATATATCCATATATTCTGCAACAAAGTAGAGAAAGCTATGATCTACAAGCTCATCGCAGGTTTGCACTCCAACAAGCAGTCCTACCACAGCAGCACTGTTCTCTCTAAGCTCCGCACATGTGTGACCCACTGCGCACTTAATGATTCCGGCAGACGCGAGCAGACGAGGGCTACGGGAACCTGAAGGCGTGGGTGAAGAGGAGCAGACCGGAGAGAGAGCTTACAGGAGCTGATTCGAGGCCGGGGGGCAAGAGATCAATCTTGCCCTGAGCCTGAAGGCACGAAGGAGTTTGGAGTGGCCAGTGCGGAGGCCTCTTGGTGAGCTAGCAGGCAACAACCATCGAGAGGCCAAGACCGCGGGTGATCGGGCGAGGCAGTGACCGGCGTGGAGGCTGAGGGTTCAGTGTTACAGGTGAGGAGGTGCCAGGCGCGGAGACTCCATTTAAAAGTCTCCCGCCTGGAACAATGGCCACAGCCACTTGCGTGACGTGAATTCCGCTTGCCGTTTTTCTTTTGTCATTTCTATTTCTCACCTCTTCCCTTGATTTGCACAAACACAAAGTCATTCCGCGCATGGCCGAAAAAAATCAGAGGGAACATAGCACAGGAGTCCTCCCAAAAAGGAGTCCTCTCAACAGGATCCCTCCCAACCAGGAGTCCTCCCACTGAGTCCTCCCAACAGGAGTCCTCCCACTTAGTCTTCCCACTGAATCCTCTCACTGAGTCTTCCTACTGAGTCCTCCCAACAGGAGTCCTCCCACTGGGTCCTCCCAGCTGAGTATGGATAAAGACGAAATGTCTATCTGTGTGTCAATCTACATTCCATATTGGATCCTTTGGTTGCAAGCGAAGCTGCAACAGGTACAGCTAATTAGTTATAAACCTAAGGATCCCATATACCTTTTTAACAGCTCTATTTTAACCTGCCACATTCAAAGACCTGTGTATGTGAACCCCCAGACCTGTGTATGTGAATCCCCACACCTTTGTTTTCTATCTAACCCATGCTATATCTGTCCCCATAGAGCTTGATGATAACACAGGCTGAACAACAAATCCATCCAATTTTACATAACTGAAAACGCTTGCGAAGACAAGCAAAAGTATTCATAAAGAAATTTTCCAGGGCAACTGCATTATAATGCAATTGCCAGGGTCCAGTGTCTCAGGTCCTGGGTCATGCTGAAGCGTGGAAAAATAGCCAACTTCCAGGTGATAGGCAATTTATAATTAGTATGAAAGAAAATAGACTGACTGGCCTTCATTATAGTGTCATTGAAGACTGGAGAGCAAGCCATTGGAAGGTATTTCAACCACGTGAAACTTTCCTCATTCAACAGCAACTTGACAACAACAACTTGCATTTATATAGCGTCCTCCACCCCGGGCAGCGTCCTAGAGCGCTTAACAGTGGTGAATCCTAATGCCAAACTAAGGGTAGGGGGAAGGTGACCATAGGCACGGTCGAAGAGGAAGGTGTTCAGGCGCAACCTGAAAATGGAGATAGAGAGGGCAAGGTGGAGGGATTGAGGGAGAGAGTTCCATAGCTTTGGGATGTAATGGCTGAAGGCACAGCCGCCGATGGTGGAGCAGAGGATTCGAGAGACGAGGTGGAGGCCGGAGCCAGTATAGCGGAGGCAGCGGGTAGTGCAAAAAGGAAACAGGAGGTTGGAGAGATAAGGGGTGCCAAGGCGTGGAGGTATTTAAACACCAGAACCAATGGGGTTTGGCAAGGACTGGGGTAATCGGGGTGCGGAGTTTAGTGCGGGTGAGAATGCAGATAAGCACCACTAAGCTGACAGACTTTCATTAATCAATCTCATTGTGTCCGTGGGCAAAACAGTCTCTTAGAAATCCCAGGAACATGCATAACTCTCAGAAGCTAGTGATAATGAAAACCTTTGGACACAAATGCTATTTCAGATGAAGAGGGGTGCTCTTGTTGTTAGATCACCTGGTAATATGCATGGCGCAATAACAGCTACTCATGTAGCTGTCCATCTGATTTTATAGCTTCTGTGCAAGGATTCTTGCCACCTATTAAGTCAGCATTTGTGGCACAGTGAGTTAGGGCAGTAGGCAAAACTCACTAAATGGTGGCACAGTTGGTTTGAGAATCAACATACAAAGTGGGCCATTTCACCCACACTCCTGTAAATTACCAATCTTGTGTGTAAGGAATAGCAGACGAAGGTAAATGTCCTCCCTATAGCAGAGGGAAAAATTGAAAGGCAATCATGTTTGTCTACTCTTCTACCTCTTTGAAGGCCTGAAATCATGACACCCTCCCTTTTATCTGAGGCATCAGAATACACAAAAAAGAGAAAAAGTAGCTTCAAAAGGATATCTCATCCTAAAAGAGGAAAAAGCGTGAGATAAAATCTGACATTGATCTTTACAAGCCCCTGACTGTTCTTTTGAGAAGTTGAGCACCTGAAAAACACTTCAGGTTACTGTCAATACAGTTAATGTGATCCACCTGAGTGTGGTCTTACCTGTGATTGATTATTAGCTGCATGGTTGCCATGGAAGGGAGATTGTCTGTCTTTATCTCTATGATGCCAACTGCTCTGTTTGCTGCGCTGAAGCTGCTGACGTAATTTTGCATTCTGTAAAATTAAAAGCTTGATGATAGTCATTGAGGTTAAACAAAGGTTTCATGTGTTCACAGTCCACAATACAGAAAGATCTTTTCAAAGTCACTGCCTGGATAAGCTCAGTCTTATGAAGGAAAAATGACCAAATACTGCCTGCGACACAATATGTCTATTCTCCAAGGGTCAAAGAACTGTTATCCATGGTAAACAGTTCTGGAATAGAACAATGAAAATGTGGAAACAGGGAGATATTGTACAATTTTGTGCAGAGAAATATATGTAGAACTTTCTCTCAGGAAATTAATTAATGAGATTTCTCCTTACTTATTTAAATAATTATACATTATCTTAAGAAAGCTGGTTTGATGGACCGTGGCTTACCGTGGCTTCTTATCTTCTCATGTACAAGACAATTCTCAACAGGGTGTCTAATATAGTAAAACTTATTAACTGATTTCACAAATTAACTAAGATACTTTTATTAAAAAGGGAGGATACCTACCAAAATAAAGAAGTTCGGTACTTATCCATAAATTGCACCCATATGTATTTATATTTTAAACACTAATGCCTTTTAAAAAAAGGTTGCAGAGCTCTTCCACCCCACAGCACTAAATACCAAAGAAGCCTATCTGTCTATGCATGGTTGATTCCACTGGCTTGAAAATTATGGACCAATACATTCCAACATGATTCCCCTCAGCTGACATCACCATGAACCCAATGTTTACTGAAGTGGAGTCCTGTAGCTCAGTGGTTAGAACACTCACCTCGCAACAACAAGATTACATTTGTATAGAGCCTTTCACGTCGGGAGGATATCCCAACGCGCTGTGTACAGCATTTCAGACCTGAGTTGGGGTCAGGGGGGAGAGAAGGGAGGGGAGGGGAAGGGGGGTGGCTGATGGCATGGTCGAAGAGGAGGGTCTTGAGGCGGGACTTGAAGGAGGCTAAGGAGGGAGCGAGGCGGAGTGACTGGGGGAATGGAATTCCAGAGGTTGGGGGCAGAGTGGCTGAAGGGTCTCCAGCCAATGGTGGGGCGGGTGGGTCGGGGGACATGGAGCAGGCCAGAGCCGGCTGAGCGGAGGGAGCGGGCGGGTTGATGGAGGGTTACGAGGTCACAGAGGTAGGATACGTTGAGGCCATGGAGGGCTTTGTAGGTGAAGACCAGAATCTTGGACTGGATCCTCTGAAGGATAGGGAGCCAATGGAGTTGGGCGAGAGTGGTAGAGATGGGGTCACGGAGTTTGGTGCGGGAGAGGACACGGGCTGCAGAGTTCTGGATTATCTTCAGTCTGTGGATGGAGGAGTTGGGAAGGACGACAAGCAGGGCGTTTGCATAGTCGAGCCTGGAGGTGATGAAGCCATGAACAAGAGTTTCAACGGCCTGAGGGGTGAGGTAGTGGCAAAGTCGGGCGACGTTACGGAGGTGAGGGAAGGCAGAACAGGTCATGGCTTGGATGTGGGGAAGAAAAGACAGTTGAGGTTCCAATAAGACACCTGGGTTCCTGACTGGTTTGGTGAGTTGTAGTGGGCAACCATGGAGGTTGATTCTGCCAGAGCCTGAGGTGCTGAGGCGCTGGTGTGAGCCAATCAGGAGGGCCTCAGTCTTTTTCACATTCAACTGTAGGAAATTTGCCCTCACCCAGGACTTGATGTCCGACAGGTAGTCTGTCACAACAGCAGTGGTCCTGGAGTTGAGGGTGGAGGCAGAAAGATAGAGTTGGGTGTCATCCGTATACATATGGAAGTTGACCCCATGTCTGTGGATGATGTCACCAAGGGGGAGCATATAGATATTAAAGAGGAGAGGGCCAAGGACAGAGCCCTGGGGGATACCAGACGTGACAGTGCGGGGGCTGGAGGAGAAACCTTTAGAGGCAACAAAGTGGAGACGGTGAGAGAGATAGGATTCGATCCAGGCAAGAGCAGGTCCGCGAAGGTTAAGCAAAGAGGAGAGGTGGTGTATGAGGATGGAGTGGTTGACAGTATCGAAGGCGCAAGTGAGAGACCTGGGTTCAATTCCCGGCAGGGCAAAATGTTGTGCGAATTTCCTTACTCCACACATCTCTGTTCACCTAGCAGTAAGCAGGATTCCAGTTGTTAGTCGATTGGCGAATCGCTTTACCGGGGGTAATAATACCTTAAAAAAAAATGGTCACTCAATCCACAATCGTGGAGTCCTGTAGCTCAGTGGTTAGAGCACTCGCTTTGCAAGCGAGAGACCTGAGTTCAATTCCAGGCAAGGCGAAACCTTGGGCAAGTTTCCTTACTCCACACGCCTAATAATAATCCCTCCAAAAAAACAAAAAAACAATAATTGGTCATTTTCAATCTACGACTGTTTGTGGGACATTGCTGTGCGCAATTGGCTGCCGCGTTCGCCCACAAATATACAGTCAATTCACTTTACAGTGTGTTCTGTGAAGCGCTTTGGGATGTTCTCCCGACGTGAAAAGCGCTATATCAAATGCAAGGATTATTATTATTATAACTGTTTGTTGGTTGCCACATTTCACCCACAAAATATACAGTCAATTCACTTTACAGTATATTCTGAGAAGCGCTTTGAGACGTCTCAAAGATGTGATAAGGCACTATATCAAATGCAAGGATTATTATTATAAGTTCAACAGCATTAGAAATCTTTGTGTAAGAGCCCAAAAACCACCCTTTTATCAAGTTGAAATAAATCTACAGCGGGTGACCTCCAATTAAGCACTTATTATCACCTTTAAGCAATAATGAATTTGAAATTTGCTGTTACAACCTTCAATGTGGTCGTCAGAGAGGGAAAAAGCAATACTCCGATCTCTTTGTCTAACACCAGGGGAGCCCTTTATTTCTCCTTCCTAATGTGAATTCTGATCAGTACATCTCTCCCACACTTATCAGAAATTTGCATTTTATGTTTGCCTAAACAAATGTCGTCATTTGTATTACTCTAGCTGGGAAAGTTATTATTGAACTTTCTCTAACACACATGTAAAATGTAGATGTAAATATCTGCACAGATTTTATTCTCTTTGCAATAACTTTTTCGTAAACCAGTTCGATGACCATAGCCTTGAGCTACCAGTGGCTAAATATTACACAATCATTAACAGCTATATACCTTTACAGTCTATTCTGTGAAGCACTTTGAGAACTCTTGAAGACATGTTAAGGCACTATATACAGCGGGAGCTGGCAGGTTACAGCAGGGCCGACAGCCATTTCAGAATTTCACTTCTAAATCCCTGCGCGACATCACTTCCACCCGCCAGGTTTGAATCCCTGGCACCAGGTATAGTTTGTTTATTGCTTCTCCTCCTCTGTCTTTTCCCTGTAGGCTGCTCGGTGTTATCTTCCAAACCCCAGGGACCAACCTCTCCTCCCTCATGAACAAAACACAAAATACTGCGGATGGCTGGAAATCTGAAACAAAAACAGAGAGAGCTGGGAAAACTCAGCAGGTCAGGCAGCACCTATGGAGAAAGGAAAGTGAGTCAACGTTTCGGGTCCACAGCATTCTGATGAAGGGTCGTGGACCTGAAAGGTTGACTCACTTTCCTTTCTCCATAGATGCTGCCCGACTTGCTGTGTTTTCCCAGCTCTCTTTCTCCTCCCTCATCCTCATTTCCATCCTCTTCCTCCCTGCCAGTCCCTCCATCATGCCCTCCCATTTCACACATTCACCTGGCAACTGTCCCCTCTGCACCAGCCTACAAAATGTCCGCTCCCTCTGGATCAAGGCTCTGACCATAATAATAATGCCTCCAAAACAAAACGATAATAAATTGGTCATTTTTAATCCACGACTGTTTGTGGGATACTGCTGTGCGCAATTGGCTGCCGCGTTTCACCCACAAATATACAGTCAATTTCACTTTACCGTATATTCTAGGAAGCGCTTGAGATGTCTAGAAGAAGTGAAAAGCTATATATCAAATGCAAGGATTATTATTTATTATTAATGACCTCATCATTTATTAAAATATCAACATCATGGCCCTGACTGAACCCTGGGTCACTCCTTCCTCTTCACTGAGCCCACACCACCCAGCTATACCTCCCACCACACCCCACGTCCCAACCACCGTGGCAGTGGTGTGCTCTAATCTCCAGGACCTCACTTGCTTTATATTCCTCTGGCTCATTCCCCTCATTCGAGCACCTTACATTCTACCATCCGTCCAATCTTTCCTTCAAAATTCTCCTCGTTTACCACCCCTCCACCCCACCCAAAACCACCTTCACCAGATAGGAGGGTGGAGCTAGGAGGTCCTTCACCCTCTCCTGCTCCATCTCCTCGGACTTCTCCTCTCTCCTTTCCTCTCACAACCTCTCCCTCCACATCCACTCTGCCACCCAAGTTCATGGCCAACCACTCGACCTGGTGATTACCCAGGTCCTCAGTATCTCGGATATCACAATCGCAGACACAGCCATCTCCGATCACCATTTCATCTCCTTTAACTCCTCAATCCCTCTCCCCACCACCACCCAACCACCCTCCATCTCCTTCCACCCCTGGAAAAAAATCTCCCTGCAATCCTTCTCCACTGGCATGGAGTCATCTGAATTCCTCCCCCTCTTGCCTACCTCCTGCACTGATTTATCCTCCTCGCTCACTCTCCTCCACAATTCCCTCTCTTGATGAGCTTGCCCCCCTCACTTCCCGAACCATCAACTACTCACAAACCTCACTATGGTACACCAGTCACCTCTGCTCCCTCAGGGTCAGGTGCGGACTGCCGAATGCAACTGGCTCAAGTCTGACCTAATGGTCCACCAGCAGATCTGACAGGACCCCATCAAAACGTACCGCTCCACCGTCGCCTCAGCCAAATCATCCTTCTACCCAAGATAATCTTAGAGGCGAAGGACAACCTCAGGCTCCTATTCTCCACCACCAACCGGCTCCTCTGTCAACCCTTTCACGCCTCGCCCATTCTCTACTCAAGTTCTGACTGTGAGGAGATGCTGGATTTCTTCCGAGTCCAAAATCAAGGGGATCCGTTCAACTGCCTCCGCCCTCCCAACTGGCACTCCCTCCCCATCTCCCACCCACACTCCAACCCCTATCCATCCCTCCCTCCACATTTTCAAACCTGTCTCCCCCTCCTCTCTCATCACCACCATATCTAGCATGAAACACATCACCTGCTCCCATGACCCCATCCCTACCCTCTGCTTACCTCCCAGCTCAACCTCCTTGCCCCTCTACTCTCCGACACTATCAATCTCTCCCTTTCATCTGACATCCCCCTAAAACAGCTACAATCACCGCCACCTGGAAAAAAACCTTCCCTGGACCCATCCCTGCCTTCTAACTACCGGCCCATTTCCAACATTCCTTTTCTTTCGAAGGTCTTGGAAAGAGTCATTGCTTCCTGGCTTTGCGAATTCCTCTCCTACCACTCCCTTCACAAGCCCCTCAATCGGGATTCTGTGCTGCTCACAGCATGGAAACTGCTTTGGTCAAGATGACAAACAAATTTTTCCTCCTTGTCCTCCTCAACCTCTCTGCTGCCTTCGATACCATGGACCACACCATCCTCCTCCACCGCCTCTCACCTCAAACTTCAAGGTTCTGTCCTTGAATGGTTCAGGTCTTATCTCTCACACCGTCTCCAATTTGTCTCCGCCCACTGGTTTCTCGCACAGTCTCATGTGGTGTTCCTCAGGGCTCTGTCGTTGGTCCCCTCCTCTTCAACCTCTATATGCTCTCCCTTGGTGACATCATCCGCAGATATGTGGTCAACTTCCACATGTACGCGGATGACACCCAACTCCACCTCTCTGCCTCCACCTTCGATTCCAGGACAACTGACTTCCTGACTGTCTGTCTGACATCACATCAAGTCCTGCATGAGAGACAACTTTCTACAGCTAAATGTCAGCAAGACTGAGGTCCTCCTGATTGGCTCGCACCAACACCTCTGCCTCTCAGGCACTGGCAGCATCAGTGTACATTGTTGCAAACTCCACCTCACCAAGTCAGTTAGAAACCTGGGTGTCTTGTTCGACCCTCAACTGTCCTTTCTCTCCCATATCCGTGCTATGACCTTCTCCCACCTCCGCAATATTGCCTGACTCCGCCACTGCCTCACCTCTCAGGCTGCTGAAACCCTCATACAAGCATTCATCACCACAAGGCTCGACTACAGAAACTCCCTCCTTGGAGTTCCAACGAGGAGGGGCAGAGAGCCTGAAAGCCCAGCCGCTGATGGGAGACCTAGAGCAGGCTGGAGCCTACTGAGCGGAGAGAGTAGAGAGGATGATAGGGGTTCAGCAGGTCAAAGATGTAGGAGGGGGCAAGGCCTTGGAGGGTCTTGAAAGTGAGGATGAGGATTTTGAATTCTATCCTCTGAGGGGCCTCCCCAACTCTTCCCTTCATAAGCTGCAGATCATCCAGAACTCTGCAGCTTGGGTCTTTTCCATGAACCTATCACCCCCACCCTTGCCCGGCTCCACTGGCTCCCAATCCCTCAGAGGACAGAATTCAAAATCCTCATCCTCACTTTCAAGGCCCTCCATGGCCTTGCCCCCTCCTACATCTCGGACTTGCTGACCAACCTCTCCACTCCCTCCGCTCAGTAGGTTTCTTGCCCGACCCACTGTACCATCAACGGCCGGGCTTTCAGCCTCTCTGCCCCCACTCTTTGGAACTCCATCCCACAATCCCTTTGCCTTGCCCCCTCTCTTGCCTCCTTCAAGGCACGACTCAAGACCCTCCTTTTTGACCGTGCCTTCGACCGCTGTCCTACCCACCATTGCCCATCATCAGCGGAGCTGCTTTGTCAAAACGTGGATACAAGGTCAATTATATGATAATCGCTAAAAGTAATGTAAGGATTGTTACTTTGATCAATTAATACGATTGACACCAATAATTGGTGCTGTCTGAAAACATGTCAGACACATTGAAATTCTTAAGAAACTTGGTGGCTTGTCCCATATGTGTTGCATATTTCATTTGGCGTACATTTCCCAATCATTTCAGGAGATAAGGATTTCTGCTTACCATACGCAAGAAGGGAGAGGAATGCCAAGAGGGATGAATGTCTTGTTTCATCAATACTAATAATCCTTGCATTTGATACAGCGCCTTATCGCTTCTTTGAGATGCCTCAAAGCGCTTCACAGAATATACTGTAAAGTGAATTGACTGTATATTTTGTGGGCAAAACGCAGCAGCCAATTGCGCACAACAGTATCCCACAAACAGTCGTGGATGTGGATTAAAGTGATCAATTTATCATTTTTATTATTGATCATTATTTCCCCTTAGAGACGCTGCTAGAAAGCAAAACAAACAGCATTCACTGTTGGACAAGTTTGGGGTCTTACAATTTCAAAAATATCACTCTGCTCCACAATATGTATCTTCTTGGATTCCCAAATTAAAATTCAGAACCTTTGCTGGTAATATTAAGGTCAGCTGAACTCAACTGCAACAGTGATCCCTTTCAATACAGGGTTTTAATACAGTTCGTTTGTAGATTTCATAGATAGATTTGGGATCCCAAACACATTTCATCAACTGCTTTCCTTGAGAAAGATACATTACTTCCCCTTAGAGATGCTGCTAGAAAGCAAAACAAACAGCATTCATTGTTCATAAACACAATGAGTTTTCACATTGAGAAAGAGATACAGGGCTGGATGCAATCCAACGTGCATGGAAGGAAAAGGTCCAAATTAAATCAAACTAAGTTTACCCACAGATAGGACAATATATCTGTCCAGTTCCTCTAACACTGCCCCACGGAGCATACATGAGAATGTATGGAGCTAGAAGTGTTAGGCATGTGTTCATTCCTACATCATATTAGGCTATCCACATGGAGAAAAGTTAAATGTAAGAAGTCACATAATTATTAAAATTGATTTGGCATGAAAGGTATACGTCCTGTGAGACCTTGACGAGATAGTAATCTGAGAACAGAAACAATTTTCATCTACATTAATCTGACTCTAGCCATCAAAGCATTCTCAATATGTTCTATTGAATTCAACAATGAATTACAACAGACTTGAAAACCAAGACCTATCTAATATACAATCATTGTTGATATTTCTGTCCAGAGTTTGAAAAGCAATAACAATAGATACCTACACAAGACAACCAGAATCCTGGGCTTTATTACTAAATCAGTTGAGCTCAGATGGCTAGAAGTCACTCTCAAGCTGTGCATTATTCTGGTCACAATTCAAACAAGGCTCATCAAAAAAGAAAGATTAGTCGTGTAGAAGAAGCAGATTGGCGCAAAATTTTCAACACTGGAAAATCATCTTAGAAGGGAACTTATTAAAATGATATGAAATTCTAAGTGGTATAGAGAAAGTGAACTCAGACAATACATTCAGATGCAACAAGGTGCCAATATCGCAGGATATAGTAAGGTTACAGAATAAGCGATCACAAGTTCTTGTTTGCAAAGGTCAATTTTGGACAGATATCAGACAGTTTCTTTTTACACCGAGGATGATTAACAGTTAGAGTAGGTTACCAGGAAGGGTGGCTGAGGTCAGAACATTGGTAGCATTTAAGAAATCGTTAAATGCTATTATGGGATCACTGTACGGTCGGAAGAATTAGATCAAATGGGTTCTTCATCCAAACGTTTCTTGTGAAGACCATTCCCATTTTGACGTTCACATCAAAATTAATGCTCCTCACTGCTGTTGTACTACCGAAAAACAGAAACTTGATAGCCTTTTGAATTGAAAGGGTGGCATGTAAATCTATTTCTGGGTAATCGCATTTGCCCAAGATAACCTGAGGTTTATCTAAGTGTAGGTCCCATTTGTGTGACTGGATCCTGCCTTCAGTATAATACCCATTATTTATTCTACATATTTTTGAGTCTTGAGAGGGAAGGTTTGACAACAAGTCTATTATCTGCAATAGCCCACTGAATTATGTCCTGTAGGCTGGGGTGTCCATTTTCTGAATTAAACTCATGAAGCATAGAACTTACAACCATTAAACAACCTCCAAGTGACCAAGCCCAAGACCTATGATTAAGGTCAATGAAATCTCAAAAAGATCTGGGAATACTCAATGTTCCATTGTGAACTAAACTACCTTTGCAAGACACAATCTAGCTCTGTGTACTTAAAACGACAATACCCAGCACTGAACAAAAACAAAAAAGGTTTTGAAGTTCATCTTTGTTTCCGCTTCTATTTCACCTGCTTATTCAGCCCTTTTAAAGTATTCAATAGAGTCTGACCAAGGAAACTGCCTAAAGATCTGCATGTGTTTACCTCACTCTGTGAACTCCTCTTTAAGGTTGTTGTAGTACTCAGCGCCAGCTTAAAAAAAGAAACTAAAAAGAAAAAAAAGAAACGAAGTCTCATTATGGTTAATGCTCATAACTAACAAAAATAGCACCTGGTTTTGACAGTCTGTCAGTTTGGGATTTCTGTTCCTTGCATTCAAATTTCTGAGCCATTAGATTCTCCAAGGCCAATGCCTTGGTATTCTCCAATACCAATGCCCAGAGACTCGATGGGAGGGGGGTCTGCACACTGTCAGACGGTTTTATGCACATATTATATTACAGATACAAGCCTGCTGTTTACAATTCAGCACTGAAAATTTTTTTCTAGAAAGATTGTTTCCGCGATATTCTGGGTAGCATTTGCAGAATCGTGAGGTAAACGTATGAAACAGAAACTCTTAATGGCGATAATAATTTGCTGTGAAACCAGTATCAGATCAGCTCAATGCAAAACCCAGGAATATGGGTATGTATCCAGCCTGAAAGCATAGAACTTTGATACATACAAAGGGTTTCAAATGCAATGTGACCTCCACCCTTGATCCCCAACATTCGAGAGCAACAAAGGAATTCTAACCTCTTTTAGCTGGTCATTGCTTCTCCAGGATGCTGAGCGCTTGTGAGACATTTTCTTTTCAGAGTTCTCGTCTGCCCAGACGCGTGGAGTCTGTCAGGAAGAAACAATTTACTGGTTAGAAATCAACTTCATTATTCTTTCCTATAATGCTTTTCAGAGATGATCTGTTCAACAAGATAATCAGAAACACTTAGTCTGCCACTACTCATTTGGCTTTTAATGTAGAAATTGCAGACACTTGCAATCAATTGATTTGAAGCAAGTTTTTAACAGAACATGATTATCTTTTTCATGATGGTAACCACACGAAAAAGAGTGTTAAGTCAAGGAACATGTCCCAGTTACACAGTGCATGATTTTGAAATACTGTGTGGTTCTTGACTCCGTCTCCCAACACTCTTTCAAGTAAATCTATTTATTGAAAAGTACTCACCCACGCTGCTGGTCTGTTAAGAAATTGAGTTGAAAAGAATTACTCCAGATAAACTAATCCCAACAGCGATATGTTTTTATTGCGTGTGGGGGGTAGGGGGGAACTTCAAAGATGTTTGAAAGAAGTCTGTGATCACTGACATCCCAATCACAATTAATCAGGAGCAGTTCCGATGGCCTTTCACCCTGCTGCTTTATTTATGAAGTAGTTCTACCTTTCTAAATTTTCCAATCTAACAGTTTGACAATTCTTTTTTCACTTTTTTCACATTTCACTTTGAACTTCAACCATAAAAAGGGGAAACATTTTGCAACCCTTCTGAGCAGGAGGACAGCATCTGCATCAGGAAAATTTAAAATGAACTTTTGCCCAACACCAGACATGTAGATTGTGCTACTAAATAAAAGATAAAGTACAAATTGATAGGAGCAGAGTTGAGATTTTATCAACAATTTGGCAATTTTCAAGTATGAAAGCCAAGAACACCCAAGTTCAATGTAGCTCAACAAACTACAACTACCAGTGGGCAGTTACACTTACTTAAAAATGATTACAAAAGCATAAACCTACTTGAAGCCAATTTGAATTTATGGGGTGGAGGGCAGAGCCGCCAGTTTACTATACAGGAATTCCAATAACAATCTTGTGCTGCTGTATTTGTGCATCTAAAAATATTGTTCTGAAAAAAGCTGTACATAGTGGTATTATAATGGTACCATGAAGGATGAAGTTCAGAAATTCTACAGGGTGACTTATACATAAACAATCTCACATGAAAAACAAAATTCAAATTGTTCTAGTGTCAATTTTGTTAGATAATTCAAACCTCAGGTACAAACAAGACTGATCTTCAGGGCAGAATTTGTTTATTTTAGTATTTCAATTTCCATTACTAAGGACAAGAGCCTATTGGGCTCAGCTTTTCCTTGCTTGTTTGCCGCTTGCTTGGGGATTGAAGAAGAATACTTCTGGCTATATCCCTGAATTCCGCCCCCACCCCCCTCCCCACCCGGCTTGGATTTGTCCTGATAAAAAATATTCATATTGGATCATGCTACAACCCTCTGTTCATGAGATGCCTATGACAGAAACTTTCTAAACCATTAACAAATCCCATTTTCTATTCCTTAAGAACACTTCATTCTGGACATTTGTGTTATTTCAAGGAAAACTCATTAAAGTTCATGGTTAAAGGTAGCTGCACAAGATCGTATCCAAGACAAAAACACCACCTTTCCACAAAAGCATTTTCTACCCCATTCCCAATCACAGACTCCATTTTTTAAAGATCTGTGTCACAGTAATTGCAACTGATCTATTCAAATATGAATGCTTTATGAACATGCTACACAGGGATTGTTCTGATCTATCCATTCCTGCAGCAAATTTGTTGATTTGGCCTCTGGTGCTATTCTGCTGAGTTTGCCAATATACTGGCAAATATACTGCTTTGCACTGAACACAGCTAGTGCAATATGGTATGTAAACTTTGTACAATGCAATGTTTTATTATTCAAAATTTCACAGCAACAAATGGTGAAATGTTGAATAAAGAAATATTGCATTATACAAAGTTTACATATCATTTGAATGCAGCACTTGGCTAAAATGAATATTTTTATTACAGAAGCAGAATAACTCCTATAGGCTTATTTAGCTCCTATTGATAAGGGATTCAAAGCATGTTCAAGGACCAAGGCATAACATCAGAATATAGTCCAGATCACATCTCCACTCTTCTGGGTACCAAAGATACAGTGCTGTGGAGAAACATGAAATGGCGGAAAGCACCGTAGAGAAAAATGTAAGGGAGTCATTTCCCTGAGACATTATGCCTCCTCCAGTCAGTTCATAGTACCATTGGTAAAGGCCTGTGGATCACAGCATTACAGCCAGCAGCTATCTTAGAATTAGGCAGTGTGGAGAGACCAGGAGGAGGGTGGGAAAAGTAGATAATTAGAACACAGATTTGATCCAAAAGTCAAAATGAACCTTCTAATTGAATAGCTGTAGAATTACACAAAATGTTACAGCATGGAAACAGGCCATTCAATTAGAAATTTCTACTTTCAAATGTACAAAAACATTATTCAGTCCAAAATAGCAGGGGACCAAATCTCATGTTTTTCCCTTTGGGATTACAAAGTTTGTGATGGCTACAAACAGCATCAATCATGGCGTACTATCACTCATGAAAGAAGGATGGATAAAATAATATAGAAACATACCATCCACAAAGAGTGATATCTTTCCCGATGTGAAAGGCGGATCATAAATGCAATTTGTTGTTGTTGTCCTAACTAATTCCTGCAAATCAAATATCTGAATTCCCATCTCTTTGGACTGAAAGACTTATCGATCGCCATGGGATATCAATAATCTAATAATCCTTGTATTTGATAAAGTGCCTTATCACATTGAGACATCTCAAAGTACTTCACAGAATTTTACCATGCAATGTAGTGGCTATGCATTTGTAAGCGAATCTCTCCATCAAAGGTTAGAATGGCTGATGAGCAAGTATAAAGAATTATAAAAGTTGTACTTTGTGCCTTACCAAAGCTGAAGCAAGTTTATTGCCAACCTATTCAGAAGTCTGCACCATTCTCTCCCACACCAGGTTCTGAGAACCAATTAGCCCATCTTCTCCCAGCTCCAGCTCCAGTGGCTCTTTATCCACCAGTGGATTGGTTTTAAGATAATAATCCTTACATTTGAATCAGCGCCTTTCCCATCAGAAGAACAACTCAATGCACTTCACAGGATATATTGTAAAGTAGAATGCTCCACTTTTGTGTGGGCGAAGAGGACAGGACTAAAACTTTACATTTAGTAGAACACTTACAGTGCCTCAAAAGCATGAACAGAACATTGAGAAAATGATACAGCTGTGAATTTGACTGCAAGAATTCAGTCACAAAGGCACTCAAGTAAGATTGGTTTCAAAGAAAAAAACAATTAAGGAAAATCTAAATTGCTCTGAATAATGTTGATATTTTTCAAACAGATGTTAGATTCAAATTTTATGATCCTTCTTTTAAATTTAAAACCTTTGACATATCCCACACGCCAAGGATTTTGAAGAGACTGTTGACAGAATCCAGAGATCCTGTTGACTGAGAATCGAGAGTCACTAAACACAAACCCCGTTAACATAAAGTAGTGATAGATGTGGCTGGAGAGGTATCTCGATGACTTCAGCGGCAGCCATTCCCAGCCGTGCAGTTTTCAACAGACAGTGGTGCAAAGTTCATTTTTTCCCACTAATAAAATGGACGTTTACAGTTTACAAAATAAACAGACTTGAGTTTTATTATTTGTGAACAGTTTTAATATGTGCATGTGGATGATAATAATCCCTTTCTGAAATTCAACATCACTAACTCAAACTAAATGTCCTTTCCTAGAAATCATTTCATTCTTCTCCTTGGCAATGGGCAGTTCCTATTCTATGAATAAATGCCTCAGAGAGTTTGCAATTCAATCTGCAAAGTAGTCATTTACTCCTCAAACACACCCAGTATATCCATCACTTAATGTTAAAGAAATACAGATTAGTTCTGTATTCCATCAATATAACACCACCTGATTTGAATATGTAAAAAGGAATCAAGATTGATAACGTGACAATCCAGCTTTAAGAAAACCAAATCTGGAACCAAATAAAGGGATACTGCCTTTTTAAGCAATAAATAACGTTTTTTTTAAATTATAATCTTAATGGAAGTTTTATCGAGATACCCATCAGTTTGAACTGAATTAACGGACTGTTTAGATACCTTAAAAAAAATCCTTGCATTTGATATAGCAGCTTATCACATCTTTGAGACGTCTCAAAAGCACCTCACAGAATACACTGCCGAATTCAAGATCCTCATCCTCACCTCGAATTCAAGATCCTCATCCTCACCTCGAATTCAAGATCCTCATCCTCACCTCGAATTCAAGATCCTCATCCTCACCTACAAGGCCATTCACGGCCTTGCTCCTTCCTACTATCCCTCTACTTACCTGCCCGTACCCTCCGTTCCTCTGGCTCCGGTCTGCTCCACATCCCCCGCCCCAACCACCCTACGATCGGTGGCCGGGCCTTCAGCCTCTCAGCCCCGAGGCTCTGGAACTCTATCCCCCAGTGCCTTCGCCGCCTCCTCCCTTTCCTCCTTCAAGGCCGGTCTCAAGACCGTTCTCTTTGACCGTGCCTTCAGCTCCCCTCTCGACTCTCTACCCCCTCCTCGCTCCCTCCCTTCCCTCCCCTCACCCTGACCATTTCCCCCCTGCTCGGGTCCTGACCCAACTGTCCAGCGCCTTGGGACGTCCTCCCGACGTGAAAGGCGCTCTATAAATGGAATCGTGTTGTTGTTGTTGCCAAGTGAATCGTCTGTATACTTTGTGAGCGAAATTCAGCAGCCAATTGCACACAGCAGTGTCCCACAAACGGTCATGGATTAAGTGACCAATCCATTATTATATTTTTTNGAAAGAATTATTACCCCAGAAAAGCGACACGCCAATCGACTAACAACCAGGTTCCTACTTACTGCTGGGTAAACAGAGGCATGTGGAGTACAGAAAATTGCCCTACATTGTACCCTGCTGGGTATCGAACCCAGATCTCTTGCTTGTGAGGCGAGCGCTCTAACCATTTCACATGATGGAT